TTCCAGTGTTCATCTCGACTTTGATTGTTGTTTTCTTTGCGTCATTACCGCCTGCCGCATCCTGACGCAACCGACCAGTGCTTTGCAGTCACGCACCAAGCCCAGTTGCGAGGCCTGGCCGATCACCTACTGCGGCATGGTGCTCTTTACGTCTATCTTCATCATAAACTTGGTGCGGTTCACCAAGGACGAATATGGCAGTTTCTGAAATTGAGGGGCTCCAAGGGATTCGCGTGTATGCGTGTGTACATGATTTACAAGGGGCTTCTTAGGGCCCCCTCAGGGTATGTAAGGCCGTGCCTTGTTATAAGCTCCACATGTGGCGTCATGTTGCAAGGCTTGTGTTCCCAGGGCTCATTGGGAGATATTGTCGCAGCGAACCACTCATTGATGACCGTTTTAGGTTTTTCAGAGACCTAAACACGATCACAAGACATGATTCGTCGATCATGAAACCATTTCTCAAAGTTCAGTTCTCCGGACCAGTCCTGGTACAGGGACCCAGAAGGGCCCTGGACCCACCTCCCCTTGGTCCCTACTGGCACAAATTCCTTGAGGAGTTTGGGACTTTCGTGCCTTGCCTGCCTTTTCGAATAGTCTCGGATAAAGAGTAGGGTACGGGTGGTAGGTCTGTAGGCTCTACAGAGGGTTTAGGGTTTAATGTTCGAAAGGTATTGGGACATACATGGGGCCTACGCGCCCTGAATGCTATTTCCGGTTTGGTGAGCACCCATTCTCCGCGTCACGCTACGAATTACTTGCAAGAACCCACGGGTTTTTGCCCAAGGAAAGCCGAGAGCTTGTTGGAGTTCGTGCTGTGACTTCAAATGTTAGTCTGGACTCAGAGATAGTACCTCCGTTGTTGTTTCAACAGGGACCACGCCGCTACTTGTTCTTGGTACTTCACAGCTTTCGGTTGAGCATTTTCAGCATTGCTCATTTCGAACGAGATGAAAAACAAAATGCGGGAGCCATTCAAAATGAGGGTCAACATAACCTCCACGATCGTTACTGTATGCATCCCAGCAAAAGATTTATGATTTAGAGAAGCTGCATGTGGAGGCTCCAGACCCCTTCGCTTGACTTGGCTTCTCAGGTAGACCTCGCAGGTCAGGAGTTGGAGAGGTTTGGGTGGCAGGGGGAATGCAGGTCTAGGGCTCGAGAATAATGTGGAATGCAGGCAGTACGCGAGATTTCCCTTCGTGAACCTTCTGGAGTCACGCATGTACACTGACCTAGTACCCAAGTGTCAAGAAGAGACCAAGCCCGTAGCAGTTCAGGGCCAGGCAGGGCGCCTACACGGATGGTAATGTCAGTAGAGATGAAAGGCAATGAAAGGAAATCTAGCGTAGCGCATGTCTTATTATGGAGCTTCATGTTCCCGGTGCTTGCGCAGTCAAGAGACCCCTGATGACAGCAAAAAAAACCTAAAGACCTGACCTGAAGCTCCATACGCCTCTCATACTCGCACACCTATTTAAACAACCTGTCAGGCTATACTAAAGCCCTTTCAATTCTGTGCGGAGCACTGCCTTAAAGAAATTCACTGCTTGGATCAAGGTGGGGATGATGGAGCGTTTTCGGCTTCCCTTCCCAAGGGTCACCAGCACGTGAATGGCTTGCTTTTTGGGTTGTTCGCCGTGGTGCTGCTAAGGGATGATGTAGAGCATAGGCTTTTGCCGTTCTAGAGCAGGGGTGCTGGTAGTATGGGGCAGAGTTTCCGATGTTACGGATAAATATTTCGCTAGTCTTTCTGGTGATTGCCCCTCATTCCGTGAGACAACTTTATGAAACTAGCCGCATGAATGGTGCATTCCTCATGGTTAGCAGAACAGCAATAGCTGTATAATAGGAGCAACCACGGCGAGATTGTAGCAAGAACCAATACTCAATCATCCCATTGCAGGGACCGTTACGGATCTTGGACCCTGTAGAAACGCTAAAGCTTAAGACCGAAACCCTACTGGGGCCACACCAACAACGTCAGATCTGGTCACTGCAGGTGTTTGCCCAACCGAGGACCCCATGTATTTGATATCTCACGAGCTGCAGCTCCTTTTTGCAGCGTTCAGATGCACTTTTTAGCTAAAGGGGAAAGATCCAAGGGTGTCAGGGCCTTTGTGGATTCAAGGGTTTTTCAGGTGTCTCCCCTAAGGATTACGGCTATTGGCTGGAAAGGCCCTATGCCTTGAATCATTGGACTGGTAGGAAAGGCTGAGTGATGAAGCATGTGGAGAAGCAATCCGAAGAGGGAGCAAGATGAAACGTGCTGGATATTTCCTATGCAGAACGGCTTCGCTTGTCGCACTCTGCGAGGAGTCAGTAAAGATGCTCTAAGACCTTGTCAGAGGCCAGACAGCCCTCAATAAGAACACTATAGAATCTTGCTGAATCTTGGGCATGACACCAAGAAATTTCCTGCAACCTGCAAATAGTGCCAGATCCCATCTGAATACGCTTCCCGATTTGCGGAGACTCTCCAGTCAAGGTTATGGCGGCTGGTGGGCTGTCTGTCATGTTTGCCGGCACTTTGACTTACCTCACAGGCCAACAGGTCTTGGTCAAACCACTTATCCGGATTCAGCAGCCTGTAAATGCCGCCGGCTCCCAGCAAAGGTAGTTTAGACCGCACGGAGAGGCTTAGGTTTTACACATTCGCTCCCAGCTATATTCAACAGCTTGTTTGTAACCGCCAACGCCAAGAAGGCCTGTTGTTGTATATGCCGGATATCTGCCAGAATCCTTCTTTAAGTTCAGAGGGCTGGACACATCCGTAAATTGTATTCGCACACCTCAAATGCTTATCAGCCCTGAATCTGCAAACCTGAACCTGAAACTCCAAGCCCTCAGCCCTCTCCCGAAGCCGCTCAGCAAAGCCTGACAGGCATCCCAGTCTTGATGGAATGCGGTGTTGTGCTTCTGCTGGTCTTCTTGAAGCTCTGCCTGTTTGTAGGGTGACTGAGTACGACTGTAGTGAGTATAGTCTTGTACTTATGGACAGCAGGGCATGAAGGAATGAACTTGCTTTTCGGGTTATATAGGCTTACTTCAGGCTTGCACGCTACCCACTCGAGGGCAATCTGAAGCTTTGACGATTCTGCGTCAATTAGATGATTTACAGATTCATATGACTCATATTCAAGAAAAGTTTCAGGCCCACATGATCCCACATGTTTGTGGTTCCCGCCATTTGTTGGGGAGCCCAATGCCTTCATTGAAACCTTCGGCGTTTGTGATTCTCGGGCTTTGGTCACACCCAGAAGGCGAAGTAGTCCAGCCCCAGAACGGAACTGTAAGCTCTAAACTTGTTAAGCTGACATCCTAAGCCATTCCTCAAGCCTTGCATTCGCAGAAGCTCCGTCCGTTCCTTTGTAAGTGTTGCTTTTAAGGAATAGTAGCGCTCATGAGAACAAACGTAGGAATTTTACTTAAGGGTTTCATTGGGTTGCTTGGAGACCGACCCAGATGTAGCTGTCGAGCGTGCTTGTCAATACTAGTAGCGAAAGTGGCAAGTGGCACCAGTAAAGAGAAAACCAGCATGAACGTCAGGATGACAATTTTTTTTTAGCAACAATGATGAAACACGTCGGAGTGGGGTATCAGAGGCTGCTTTCAATGGAAGATTCGTATCAAGTTTGACAGCTTGCAGAGCTCCGGAGTGCCGAGGATTGCATCGACGTATTTTGGACATTACAAGCCGTGGAGGCAATCGAAAGAATGGAACCAATTTGTGATGCTTCTGAAGAACATTGGTATGTGCGGGCATTGTCTGGTCTCGTTCGGTTTCGAGGTGCCCAGAAAAGGAAAGCATATGGCAACACTGCGCCTGCCTGGAGCTTTGGGATCTGAAGCGGTCCTTGTCAAGAACCTGGGCACAACAGCATTTGCATAAGTGCGCTCATCTTTTTTTGCGAATGGAAAATGTTTTTTGACATTGGTCTTGCCATTGCTGGCAACTGCTTCTATGATCTAAGCCCTGGGTCCTAAGCCGTGGCGAAGGAAGCTCTGTGCCATACTTGGATCCTACTCGCAGATCTTCACACGATCCGGCCTGCTTCTGGCTGCTGGTTAGTAAGGCTTCTGGCAACAATCTCCTATGAATAATGCCTTCGGATATTTTCCAGAATTTTGGGCCATGAAAACCGGGCATCATCACAAAGAGGTACCCTTTATTCAAGCGCCTATGTAACCTGGAACTGGCATTCCTTTCAGTTTGGTCATTACTTCTCAGATAGCTATGGGAACCGGTTACTCTTAGCATCCATCCCTCCATTCCCTGCTGACCACCAGTAAGACTACTCTTACTGGCAGCCAGGCTTCTGTTTGTGGTACCCTTCGTGGTGTTATTCTTTCATCACGCCACCAATGTGAAGCAGCTGGTGCCGGCCTCATATGTGCAAGTCCAAGCAACAAGAAAGACCTAGACCCTAAATCCTTTTTTCTAGTTGAACATCACCTCCTTGTTGGATCTACTCCTCTTAGGGGCGCACCTGCTAGTTTTGAATTTTGCTGACGAGTTGCAACTTGACTTGCTGCAAAGCCCGAAGTCCTGATCAGCATTAGATTCAGGGTTCACGTTTCGGGTCTCAGGAAGCGATGCCCGTGTTCAGTGTTCCGGTTCAGGCGGGATGCATACAGTGCTGAGCCTTCGACGGTGAGGAATGTGTAACTTTCAGGGGTTCAACCCTCAAACTTGATCGCTGCGGACCCAACCCGAAAATTTACGTGAGCAGTGTATCTTCCTGAATTACGAGTTTGTTTGCTATACATTCCTTATTCCCTAACTCAGGCCTGCATCATCGCCATGCAGCCCCGGAAGAAGGACATTAAAAACCATTTACTTGCACCGTTTACCCCCAAGATGGAGCCGCAAAAGGTGCTTAGAACCTAAACTTCTAAAGTGTGAAATTCTGAAGAGGGCCCTCAACCCGAAATCAAGAACCCCAAACTCTTTGCAGCATTAGCAGCCCTAACCCTGAGCCCTGAAGCCTAGCCTGAAGGTTGACACGATCGTAGGTTACGGGTTCGGCCGCCCGGCCGCGACCTTTTTCGCAGCCCTGGACCCTTGGAATCAAAAAGGGAGTCTGGCGATGTTGTGTGGTCTTGGGGCTCTTAGGTTTTGGAGGATGAAGGGATTCTGCAATGATGTAAAGTGGTGTAGATTCAATGTGGTAGTGCTGTAAGAAATTTGGGTAAGACGCTTACTAGGATCATGTTAGCGCTTCTGGGTCTTTGAGTAAGGCAGGGCAGTTTGCTAGACTCTTGTTTGAAACGATTTTCACGAGTGGGTTTGAGTTGTTTTATTGAGCTTGCTTCGCTTACATGGTTAAGGTTGATGCGCAGCGAATGAATCATCAGTGCAGGTGCTTGGGCTTGTCCTCCCAGGCCAACATGAAACCTGAAACAGGGCCCCACAAAGACAACCGTCTTCATAAGCAGGCTGCTATGTAGCTTGCCATGTTAAACCCGAAGAACCCCTGAACCCATCTGAACCCCTGTAAACTGAAAATGCCCAAGCCCGGAACCCTTCTGAATCCCTATCAACCTCCCACAAGCCCTGCAAACCGCTGTTGGCTCTTTTGCGGCCAAGATTGATTAACTGACCGGAACCTTCAGGTCATCCCAGTTCCCCTAGAAAATACACTCAACCTTCAACCCCCATTCTGCTCTTCCTTTTGGGGTTACCTCGGGTTGCTTCCCAGCCCTAAAACCAAAGCCTTATACGTAATCCCTGAGCACCAGGCCCTGGCTCCGACAATCCCTGCTTGAGGGGAATTGGGGGAGTGAATTAGTTTCAGGGGGCAGGGGATTTGATAGAGATCTCTATGAGGATCCACTCCCCAAATCCCCCCTAGAGGCACCAGTAAGGTGCTGATCACCCTACGGGTTTCCTCACTGCTCTACGCAAGCGGCCTGCCTGCGCTGCCTCGTCCATGTTGAGAAGCGGGGTATTTGGAACTTGGGGTACCCTTTGAGACCAGAGAGGGATTCGAGGGATTCTTAATAAAGATTCGGAAAATCCCGTTTACCAAAAACAGAATTTTCAAATTGTGTTTTTGTAAGCGGTGTCGATTTCCTAGCTTGTGTAGGTCCGGTCATGTTTAGTGTTTTTGGAAGTTATGTAGGGCTTGTAGAAAGCGTATACCGTCTTTTTTGGGGTGCCATTGTGTGCGAGTCCATAGTCTCTGAAGTGTCAAGGCACCCCGTCATGATGCATTTCATCAGGCCTAATTAGGGCGTATTTGGTCCCCTACCCCCCCTTAGGTTCTTCCCCGCAAACTTTCTGATGAAATGCTTCGCAGAAACTTGGCACTAGCAAGCAGGTATCTGTAGTCAAAAAGAATGAGGTAGCTGTTGGTCCTTTTCTCGGTTACGGAGTCGTGTAGTCCATAGTACATCAGGGTGTAGGCGGTATGGATTCCTTGTGGGTCGCAAAAAAAGTTTTGCCCTGAAGTACCGAGCAGTCAAGAACTCAGGCTCATGGAGCTGGGGGCGATTGGTCTCCTGGGTTTCCTGCTGGGAGCCACATACTTCGCGCATCTGAAGCCTTTCCTTCGTTCAGGATGCCATCATTCTGGGTGCGGGGGTGTAAGGCTTGGGATTATATTCCAGGGGTTCGGGGCTTGGGACGTAGGGTTTAGACCCGGAGGTAGCAGCACATCAACCAACAACTTCCCATGGGTGCCGGGGTGGGGTGCAGCTTGATCTACTCAAGTCTAATTGTTGTAATGGAGTATGTTTACTTGCGCTACAACTATTCTGAGTGACGGGATGTTTTCTGTCCGGATGTAGGCATGCCTAGCCACCTTCACTCGCCGTCAGAAGAAACGAAGAAACCTTAACGTGTTGGGTTGGGGTTTAGGCCCGGCCACACTTGCATTTGTTGAAGGGCAAATAGCATCACGAATGTGTACTGAAAACCTTTGCTCCACACACACTCGTTGGATTAACGTTAAGAGTTCCACCAAGGCAAGGCGAGTCACAAATCAGAGGCTTATTTTGTGTCCAGCACCTGTTCATAAGCCAATATCCAATCTGTGGTACAGGATGAAAGCAGCGAGCTTTGATGCCTCACGGCTTGTCCCACATTAATCCTGGGGATTCAACTGCTCAATATTCTTCGTGGTCGGCCTCGTAGCCGCATAGGCGTAGTTGCAGCCGTGGTCTGAGTCACAATCGCAGAGGCCGCCTCACGATTAGCTTATGACGTCAAAATTCATGGAAGTACAAGACATTCTGAATGTGACTAACCACAGCCCTCAACCCAAACCCTATACCCTAAACTCCAAGCCATGAATCCTAAAGAACCATTGCTGGCTTGGAGGAGAGAAGGCGCACTTCCAGCATCTTCAGAAGAATCTGTCTTTGACCGGAGCCTGCATCATGACGATGGGAAGGGTGATTCCGCAGCTTCGTTCGTGACTTCCCCCGCCACCACCAATCTCCAAGGGCACAGAAGATGGCTGCAAGCCTAAGGACAGACAGCCCAGCTTGTTAAATCACAAACAGTTAACTCTAAACCAGATGTGGGGCCTCAAGCAAGTGGTTTACTTGAGTGTTAGTGACCCCCGAGGCCCATTGCAAAACACTCACACAAATGACACTAGCTGAGCCCAGTGTCACAGTTTTAGCTTTTAGCTGCCCCGGCACACTGTGCAGGCTGTGCCAGGCATGTGGCAGAGAATCAAAGCGATCAGTCCCAAGGAATAAGTCACACCCTGATTCCGGAGTCTTGGTTTTTGTTCAAAAGGTTAAGGCTATCTCTGCCTTGATGCCAGGGCATATCTCTTTCTGAATCTTTCTGAACCCTGCCTTATTTGTAGGTAGGCAGTGCACTTATAAAGAACCGTGTCTGCCAGGGCACAATTCTGCACGATTGCAAGCCCACTCCCATGCAGCGGTCTCCGAAAATAGGGGAAAGCACAGATTCCTCGTCAGGGTGTTTTGAGTAGGACACATAGGCACTGCTTTGAAAGAGATTCCTGATTTTCGGAAACTCCGATGCCAGCATGGAAGCCGCTCAGGGAAAACAAGGACGCTCCACCATGAAGAGGTCGTCCGAAAAAGCGGGTCATGGAGTTGGGTTCAATTGAGACCCGCTCTGGGGTGCAGAGAGCACGATCAGAATAATTATCAGGGTCACTGACACTTTCACATGTCGGAGGTGAGACATGGGGGGCTTGGGGTCAGGGTTGCCTAAACTTGACATTCTAAGGGTCCTACATGCTGAATCTTCGTGCTACTATTCGAAAGTTTGCAGAAAATAGCGCAGCCCGCAACGAGAATCACCTTCATTGTGCTACGAGGTTCCCATGTCACAAGTGAGGAAAGAGCGGGCTTTTTCCATCGTGGAGTTCACGGATCCTCCAAGCATTGAAACATCACCTTGAGCCTTGAATCTCCGCCCTGCCTGTCGAATTCAGGACTCCTCTTTTCCTTTTGGATGAGTGCGGACCATGGTAACCATGGTTCAGAACGTTGTTGCACAGAAGCAGACTTGGAGGATCGTTCTAACGCAATGCTAGATACAAAGTAATTTGTCAGGAGTTTGGGCAAGCTCTAAGCTCGTAGGCATAGCCTATTATGACTTACTACCTGTAAAGTCCTAATATAATTCATAAAGCATACATGCAACCCTTCCTAGCGTATGTTTATGTGGCCGCTACACCGATTTTTGACGGTTGCTCCCGGATCTTTAGATCGAAACGGGGCAGGGTCCATTAACAAATTCTGCATGCCAGCTCTGAGCATACAAGTTGAGATTACAAACAAGGACTAGACCACAAACTTTGCTCTCATTTGTTCAAACAAGCGTTGCAAAAAGTATCCTGATTTGATAAGATAAATCCCACGTGATGTCAAGAACCCGAAGCACTGAGGAAATCCTGAGCAAAACTGGATTGGCGCCATCAGCAGTTCAAGCGCTTCTAATGCAGTTCTTGGGAGGGCTCATACTTGGGATGCTGTAAACGGTTTGAGCTCTACACGATACTGCCGAAGGTGCCGTCAGGGCCCCAAAAAGAATCCACCAGATACTTGCGAAGTTTGAAAGAAACTCAGTGGTGAGTATATGAGGGACATGTGCAGCTTAAGGGTTAGGATTTGCGTGTCTTGGAATTTGGGGCTTATGATCACGTTTAGCATTTGTTGGTTCCCATAGCCGTCAAGGGTCGACGGATGGAGTTTTGGGAATTTGCATTCCAGGGTTTCATTCACGGTCTGCAGCCCCAACCGATGTGGTATCGGCCTCCGAGCGTAGGCCTGAGGAGAACACGACATAATCCTTAGACCCTGTCCTTGTTGGCGGTGCCTTGCTCCTAGTCATTGTCAACGGAGCGCCTACCCCGACCTGGAACCCTCTCAACCAAAGCACTTTTGCACCTGAACAGCATGCAAGCCATCCGCGTGTTGCCATTATGAGAGTACGCAACCCAAGCTTGACATTGGACGCCAAATGAGGTTTTTGATATGGCTAATCATGGAGTGTTCATACAGTGACTTTTTCTAAAAATCAGAGCTCATGCAGAGGATGTGTAACCTTCACAATAGCGAATTCCGCGAACACCTTTACGGATGCAGGGTCATCGCAGTGCTGCAGTATCATGCGGTATTTGTCAGACCTTGGCACCACAAGATCTACTCATACATTGCGGTACTAGTCACAGCGCAGTGACAAGACCAGACCGCGATGTCGTTTCAGCGAGCTGTAGCTCTCAGTTTGTGGCAAGGTGCCAGTCTGAAAGGGACCTGTCAGAGCAAACGGGGCCTGATTGCAGGAGCCGGCATAGGGGCTACAGACACCATCTACAGAAGGGATTCTTACATCTTCCAGTGTCTGGGAATTCGGCACGTCATCCGTCAACTCCGAACTCTAGACCCTGAAATGATTCTTAGCCTGGAGGTGCCCTGGAAGCGCCAGAGGCTTCGACGTGGGAGAAGCAGCTGCAAAAGCAAGCCAAGGAAGCAAAAGCCAGAGGCAGATTGTTTAAGGGCACCCATCCACAACAATCTCTTCATGAAGGATTTGTTGGGGCCATCCGTTTTATTCAGCTTGAAGATTTCAGGCAGACTTGGTTATTTCCGAGATATGGTTGAGCAGCTTCAGTCTCAAGGTGTAACGGATTTGGGAAGGCGCAGAGCTTCTTCTGACACCGGAGCTGATGCTGCCTGGCTATGATGTCTTCGGAAAGAGTGGCTTTGACCTCGATCCAAAGGTGGTCGAGTCTGGAATTCAGAGATGCGCGCGGGAACATGGAATTGCTTTGTGTGTTGGTGACTGGTTTGTTGAGAAAGTTTTTGCCTTTTTGGGGTCTGGTCTTTGGTTATATCTAGTCACAACCAACACTGCTTGAACGGCCGCTCCCTCCCAGGTTATGCAGAAAGCATCAGAGAGGCAGAAAAGCAGCCTGGCAAAACCCACTGGAATACTGCTCTTCTCGTCGATCACCAGGGTGCTGTGGTGATGCGCTACAGGACCGTCCGCTGAGCTGGATTGCAATGGCCTGAACTCGAGCATCTACCTGGCACATATTCCTCGTGTGTATTGACCGCTGGGTGGATAGCAAGTAGCTTTCACAAAGACGCAATCAATCCCCTCAGGGATCAAGAGCTTAAAGGATCCCCAGTCGCATTCTGGGAGAGGATTCAATGTGTGGGTGTCGACAAATGTGGCTGAGAATTTCCTGACTGGACCCAAGCATTTCCTTCACGCAAGAGATTAGAAAGATAGGTTCTTCAGGCTTAAGGGGCGGATTCGCAACTTTCGCAAGCCAACGCAAGCGCAAAGTCAGCCTAGGTTGCTTGAGGTTTTCTTGCGGACGCGCATCCGCGCCAAGCAGCGTTAACGATGCAAAGCCCCGGAAAAGCAGACCTTGGTGAGCTAGACTCGACGGAGACAATTAGCCAGAAGACGTCATAAGACAACATCAAGGTTCTGGTAGTACACTCGCACCGCACTCTTTGAGTGGTGCAAGCATCTCAGAATAGATTGCCAGAAACGTGACTACGTAAGCCCCAGCGAGAGGAAACACCACTGCTGGGGAAGCAAGGCTGTCAGCAGTATGCATTTTGCTTTTTCTTGTGTTCCAGTTGCTTAGGCGTGACAGTGGAAACCCGCAATAAACCTTAGACCCTAATTATGGAAAACCCTAATCCGAAAGCGGGCGCCAGGGCCACCAGCTGCCTTCTGCCCTCCTGACCCACCGACCCATCAAAAGTGGAGAGAGCACCCCTGGTTTTGAATGTAGAAGCCTGTCAACATCCAAAATCTCCATGAAACGTAAAGTAGACCAAGTACTCCTCCAGAATCACAGCATTTCAGATAATCAAGGAAACTGTTTCAACCGTGAGCCCCATGCTCCAAGACCATAGAAGCCTGAACCCTGGTTCTCTAAGCTCCAAAACCTCTGAACACCCTTAAAGACCCACAGTGCCCACATGTTAGGAAATGAGGGAAACCTGGGACTCCAAGAGTCTTCGGACAGCTTGAAAGTTGCGAGCTTGAAGCTTCGCGATGGGGACGCTTGGATCAAGTTCAATGAATGTTGGGGACTTTGTAGGCTCAGGGTTTAATGAGAACTGAAGTTTTGGTGTGGATGGATGAGGGTATAGGGCCAGGGTCAAGGAATCCTATAGAAAGTTTAAGCAGTCGTTCTTGAGATGTTAAGGGGTTGTAAAGATTTTATAGGGGTTCAAAGGCCGGGATCATGCATGATTTATGCAAGCTATCAGGTGGTTGTGGGAGCTGAAAAACAAGAGAGAGAGAGAGATGTATATACGTATGGACATGTATTTATTTCACTGGGTTTGCATAGGGTCTATGTTCATGGAGTGGGTAGGCTTCCGTGGGGGGAGTCTTCGGTTTTTCTTGAGCGAGGGAATGAGTAAAGAGACCTACAGCCTGAATTCCCAACCCTAGAGTCCCAGCGCTGAACAAACTCTTACTGGTGGCTCTGTTTGGGGTCCCTAAATGAAGTTTAAGTGGTATTGGGTCTATGTTGCGGCCCCGTCCTTTAAGGAGACCCTGAAATGATTAACCCGCTTCTTTATGCCGGTCCACCCCTTCATAATCCATGTCATCCCTCATGTACCCCTAGACTGTAAGCCGTCTGGCAACTCAGCCCTCAAGATCAGAACCCCATGAATGTCGAATAGGCAGTTTTCTCAGGAAAGGCGCACTTCTACATGCCATACTAGTAGGCCAGCACAATTCCACTACATTCTAAAAGATCCGCCAGAACAACCATAGGCAATTATTAGTCGGGGTAGATTGCAAAAGTCCTTGTTTCTTTTAGACAGCTCAATAACTAATTCGGCATTCGGCAGCATGGATTTCTTCGGTCGCTTATCGACTGCGACCAGAAGGGGAAAGCGGTCTCTGGTCGCCTGTATCTCTTGCAAGGCCACGTAAGTGCAGTTGCTTAGTGTTCAAATGGCGAACGAAGCCAGAATTTTCCAAAAGTGGCAGGTAGGGCTTCATTCTGGTCTTTAATGCAGGAACATTGGTGAACATGTATTAAGGGCGCTTGGGTTGCCAGATATTCCTCGTTGTCAAAGCCGTCCCAGGCGCAGATCTGCGTCTCCATCCTCATCTGCTATGATGTAGAGCACCTAGGGTGGCTTTAGGGCACCGAGATTTTGGCTGTAGGCTTTGGGACAGGTTTAGGGAAATAGGGTGTTAGGCTTAGAGCTGTAGCTCATGTTTGGGGTTCAGTATTTGTATTGTTGTTGGGCTTAGGGTTTGGGGATTTAGGGGCCAGTGGCTAGGTTTCAATGTTCAAAGTGAGGGTTTCATCCACGTGAATCGTCATATCTCTAATTCAGCGAATCGTGAACTCCTGGAAGTCATCTTTTACTGCCATGTATTTCCTGCTACCCGCCTCCAAACCAGCATGTAGTCCTGAGGACAACAATCTTTACAGCGTCCCTGTTGGCTTTCCTTTTCCACGCCTGGCAACTAAGGTATCCCGAGATGGTCCGGATTTTAGCGCTACAAAAGGCCGGGGCCATGCCAGCCTGACGATAGGATTTAGGAAGTTTATGGTTTTGTTTTTTTCAGGATTTGGGGTTTTGGGGCTTAAGGTTTAGAGTTGAGGGCTTAGGATCTGAGGCCTGGGGCTTGGGTTCTAGGTTTTGCCTGACCAGAACCCGTTTCTGAAAGGATACCTCACAAGAACTTCATTCCTATACTTGCAGGTTCATTCTTAGCCGCTTTCTGGGATGTCAATTTGCGGTACAGTCCTTTGCATTTCAGGGGTGCTAGAATCATAGAAACACCAAGGATCACGCTTCAAAGGGTGCTTCTTCACAATTTCAGAATCCCATATAATACTGCTAAAATCCTTGCTAAATCCTGGAACATTCCCGTATAAATCCCGTTCCAACTCCGGCCAAACCTAACTTTTTTCCAA